TGGCTAAGGTACTCGGCTGCTGACCCACAGGTCGCGGGTTCGAATCCCGGCTGCCGCGGCTGCATTTCCGGTGGAGGCGGAAATGTTGTAGGCCCGTGTGCTCAGATTTGGGTGCACGTTAAAGAACACCAAGTTGTCGAAATTTCCGGAGCCCTCCACTACGGCGTCTCTCATAATCATATGGTGGTTTTGGGACGTTAAACCCCACATATCAATCAATGAACTAGACAGATCGAGAAGCGACGCGCACCACACACACACAGAAACGGCAGAGTATTTCCAGATAATTTGTGCATGGAGGTACATGGTAGGTACATGCTCACTCTTCGAAGCTCTGTGCTGCAGCACACGCACGGCAGTCCAGCCGGCTGAGGTTGCTTAGGTGACGAGACATAGCAGCGCTGCTGCTTCAGCTGGACGCGGTCCAACTTTTCTTTCAGCCGTTGACAATTATTACGGCCTCAGCTTTCTTCCTGCGACAGTGTTCTATTGCGTTATAGTGTATTCGAATCGCAGTGAGCATTGCAATGATGCAGTGAAGCCAGCACGAGCTGCTAGTCGGAGTGCGTGACTGTAATATTCAAGAGCAAAATTTAGCGCACGTTCACCTACTCAATGCCGTGAAGACCGGTAAAACAGCAAGGTTGATGACTTTTGCTTAGCCTTGGGGTCTTTATGCATTTCATTGCATCTGCTTTTTGCGAAAGACATTGCTCCACGCAACAGTGGCATAAAGATGGCATAAAGAGTGGCATAAAGATTGTTTAGGGTGAGTGTTTCATACACTCTAAATGAACACAAAGAGCGACATAGCAAATTATTTCATAATAACGCATGTACCGGACAAAAGAGAAAAAACACTACAAATTCATACTTCATATGTTGTGTGACTAAAGTAAAAATAAATACATATTAAATGCAAAACAATAAACACAATAATTTTCTCTGTTCAAGCCAAGAAAGTAATGAATACATATGTATACAATAAATATAGCACATGCAAGATGAAAAAGAAAACAAAAAGAAAAGAAAAACGCTGTAATAAAAGATCGGAAACCTGGATTTTCAGGACAATGCTATTTAGAGCGAAGAAGAAATAGATTCTATGAGGATGCCCGAGTTGTTCCATTCCAATCTGAGACCGTGCGTGGAAATTATGAGTACTTATAACCATCTGTCTTGCACAAATAGGGTGTTAGAGATTCGGCGTGATGATGCCTTGTTGGTCTGGTTGATAACGATCTCAGGTACGGCGGTGAGTCAATCGCAAGTTTGTGGCTCAGAAGAAGAGAAAGAAGGTCAATTTTATCTGTTTTCGGGATGTGCTAAGAAGGGAAATGCCATTGGCATTCATTATTTCAGAAGGAAAGTTGACTCATGAGAACTTATTGTAAATGAACCGGATGGCTTTCTTTTGTATTCTTTTTGGCACTTGATGTTAGTTTGAGTGTATGGGTTCCATACTGCGCTCGCGTATTTTAATTCGGGTCTTAATAAAAAATAATAGGCCAGTAATTTAACATCCTTTGGGGCATTACGAAGCTTATGTTTTAGAAAGCAAAGCTTTCTGAATGCAGAGGAGGAAATAATATTTATATGTTTATTCCACGCTAAGGTAACACTTTTTGTTGTTGTTATTTTTGTTTTTGTTATTGTAACAACTAAGTATTTATATCTATCGACTTGCCTAAGTGGCAAAGAACCAAGCTGGTAAGTAAAAGACAGGGGTGCTTTTTTACGCATTATAGGGAGCAGTACAGTTTTATCGGCGTTCAAAACCATTCCCCATTTTTCACACCATTGCAATACGTTATTTAAACTGCTATTTAGCTAGACCTGATCATCAAGATGAAAAATTTCTTTGAATAATACGCAGTGGTCTGCAAATAATCGAACTTGAACACCAGGGCTTACTATGCTAACAATATCATTAATATAAACCAAGAAAAGCAGGGGGCCTAGGACACCGCCTTCTGGCACCTCTGAAGTGACTGCCAAACTTTCAGAACGTTTACCTCCAATGTCAATATATTGCTTCCTGTCAGTCAGGTAAGCAGAAATCCATCTGTTGAAGTGTTCAAAGACACCAAGAATTCTAAGCTTTATGATTAGTTTATTGAGCAGAACTTTGTCGAAAGCTTTGCTAAAATCAAGAAATATTACGTCTACTTGGCCATTAGAATCAAGAGATAAAGCGAACGAGTGAGCTACTGTTATTAGTTGGGTTATCGTTGAATACCCTTTTCGAAAGCCATGCTGATGTTCTGTTAGTGCAGCATTATTTTCTAGAAATTCGCAAACACAGTTGGCTATAGTATGTTCGACAAGTTTGCAGCATTGGGATGTCAGTGAAATAAGACGATAATTTTGTATAAGTGTCCTGTCACCTTTGTTGAACACAGGAACAACCTGGGCTGTCTTCCAGTCAATAGGCAGTTGTGCAGTGTTGACTGAGACACGAAACAAAATTACAAGAAAGTTTGCAAGAAGCTCGGCATATCGCTTGAGAAATATCGCTGGAGGGATTTCATCAGGACCAGAAAAACTCTTAGTTTTCAAGTTAAGTAGCATATTAAACACCCCAGCATACGATACAAAACTCGTATCTAATAGTTTGGAGAATGTGCCGTCACACGCGCATACAGTTGCGCTAGAGAATACACTTTGAAAATAGTTGTTGAAGTGTTGAGCAATCTCACACTTATCTGTCATGGGCTTTCCGTCAACTGATATTCGAGTAACTGATTTCTTGCTATCCTTTATGCAGTGGCAAAACTTATCAGCCTCATTTTTTATGAAGTTAGAAAGCAATATTTTGAAATAATAATGTTTTGCTGCACGGAGTGCATGAGCGAGGTCATCTTGCATCTGCCTTATTTTGTCATTCTGCACATGTTTTTTTTTTATATCTCTTTATCCTGCGTTTTAGTTGAATGATTTTCCGATTCATCGAAGACGTTTCCTTTTCAACTTTTTTTAGTTTATTAGGAACGAAATTATCTAGGCGATAGTGACACATATCTTTGAACTTGTTCCAAAGTAATTGAGCGTTGTTGCCCTCGAAATCAATCAAACAGTTTTGCATGTAATCGATAATGCTTGGGTCATTGGCATGAGCAAAGTCTTTAAAGGAACATGGAAAGACGTGCTTATACTTTTTAAGTGGTTGAAGCGGTAATGATATGGTTACGAGATGGTGATCAGAGAGCCCTGGCTCCATTTCTGCTATGCAATCAGAAAAATCACGACTGATGAATGCCAGGTCTAACACAGAGCTAGATGATTTCTGTACACGAGTTGGTTCATAGACTACCTGCATTAAATTATACCTTAACATGATATCGAACATAATGCTATCGCGTTTATTATATGAGCTACTGGCAGCAATGCCTTGCCAAACTACTCCCGGCAGGTTAAAATCACCGAGAAGAACAATTTTCTTATTTTCGTGCATTTAAATTTCATTATTCAGCATCTAATACATCCGTTGTGGCATCTGGAGGTCTATAAAATGCGTACAACATAAAACTCTGGCCCCAGCTTGAGATTTTAACATGCAGGCTTTCCATACCTACTACGTCATGTAGTAAAACCGCCTGTACACTATCTTTAACTAAGATAGCCACGCCACCGTCCCTAGCCTGCCGATCTTTACGAAATACTGTGTAAGAAGGGGGGAATATGTCATTGTCACATATCTTCTCATTCAGCCAGGTTTCTGTTAAGACAGCTACATGAGGATCATACTGTAGCAACAAGATTTTTAAGGATTCAGTTTTGTTTTTCACACTGCGGGCGTTTACATACAATATTCCGACTTGTTTAGGGCTTTTAAAGGCATCATGTCAGTCGCAAGATAATGTCAATATATTATTGCGCTGACCTTTTACGTGCGTGGACTGTGCGGTTTTTTCGCTTTAATACGTTTTTTTCAACGTTTCATCCCGATAAAAGTATTTTTTATGTATTTTTAGTCTGTCGTGAATAAGCGAGACCTTCTTCCCGAGTTGCTTTTTACTTTAGCACTTTCCCAGAGTAGTTTTCGTTTTCTTAATTTTAATGCGGAGTAGTCATTCTGGACAAATATTGAGCTGCCTTTTAGCTTTTCTACATTAGCGAAGATTTCCTTTTTTTTGCTGAAATCTTGGAGGTATTTGATCACTGGGCACTTGCCTTTGTGATGCCCAAGTCGATGAATGCGACCAATGGATCTAAATTTCTTGCCAAGTTTAACTTCGAACACGTCTGTCACAACCTTATCCTTAATCGACGTTTCTGTTGCATCGAATGATTCGGGTATTTCATGAACTATCAAATTAGATCATCTGCTTCGGTCCTCCAGATCTGTAAGTTTTTTTGCTTGAAAGTTGATGACATGCTCCACTGACTGTACTTTATCAGCTTTTCCTGAAGGAAAAGAGGGTTCAGGGCTACTTTCCAACACATTATCGATAAGTCTTTCTATTGTCTTTTTCATGTCCGCTATTTCTGTATTTAATTCATTTAAGCCACATTGCAAGGCCTTCTGGCCCTGAAACAGCTCTTAAAGAATTTCTTTTTGTGTAGGTCCAGCGTTTACTTCCATGTCACCACACAACAGCAACTTCAGCATAAACACACAGTCATAAGCAATACTATAGCACCGTTTGGGGCACGGCAGGACCACAAGGCCAGGACAGTCACTTCGAAATATACAGTAATGAGAACTAACCTGCAGTACGAAAAACAGTTTCCTGCTTAGCGTCATGTCATTTCTGGGTCTGTCGTGGCGAAAAAAAAAAAAAAAAATATATATATATATATATATATATATATATATATATATATATATATATATATAAAAAAGGGAAAGAAGTGTGTACTTAAAGGCTTGTTTTTCCGTGTTTGGACACAATATTAATGAAATCTAACAGACAATAATGCGAAGGAAAGTATACGGAAGTTATTAGACCGAATTGTAAGGTAAGTGCGAAAAAAGAAAAGTGGGTGGAAAGATAGCTTGCCGTGGGCAGGAACCGAACCTGCGGCCTTCAAATAATGCGTTTGATGCTCTACCACTGAGCTACCATGGCAGCTATCCTCCCAGCCACTTTATTGGGTATATATGTGAATTTAAACGTGCGAGTGTCAGCCAGTACCTTCTGCAGCCATGGCAGCGAGTGTGGCACACTCTTTTATGAGCCTATGTGGTGTGACGTAGCACATGAACTTATACGAGCTGGCAGCTGACCAATAGTCTCTCGTATACAATCTAAGGCACCGAGTCTGCCAGTACGAGACCCTCGTTAATTAATAAGGGAAAGAAGTGTATACTTAAGGGCTCGTTTTTCTGTGTTTTGATGCAATAATAATGAAATATAACAGACAATAATGCCAAGGAAAGTATAGGGGTGGTTATTAGACCGAATTGTAAGGCAAATGTGAAGAAAAAAAAGTGGGTGAAGTGGGTAAAAGGATAACTTGCCGTGGGCAGGAACCAATATATATATATATATATATATATATATATATATATATTTATATATATAATGCCACATGTTGTTGCCCCGCCACAGTGGTCTAGTGGCTAAGGTACTCAGCTGCTGACCCGCAGGTCGCGGGATTGAATCCCGGCTGTGGTGGCTGCATTTCCGATACAGGTGGAAATGTTGTAGGCCCGTGTGCTCGGATTTGGGTGCACGTTAAAGAACCCCAGGTAGTTAAAATTTCCGGAGCCCTCCACTACAGCGTCTCTTAATCATATGGTGGTTTTGGGACGTTAAACCCCACATATCAATCAATGCCGCATGTTAGACAACCGCTGTATTTTTGCGCCGCTTCCTGCTTTTATGAATTCCGCCACACCAACTAACAAGTATATATATATATATATATATATATATATATATATATATATATATATATATATATATATATATATTAATGCCGCATGTTGTTAAACACCCGCTGTAGCCTTGCGCCGCTTCCTGCTTTTATGAATTCCACCACACCAACTGACAAGCAAAACGCGCCGTACAACGCTGGACTGCGTGTGTCAACACCACGCGCTGGAAAAATAAGGCTGGCAGCTTTTTGAAGGAGCGGCATGTAGCGAGAAGCTAGAAGAAGTCGACGAAGTTCTCACTAGCAAGTTCAGGGCAACATCTGTGTATTTAGTTGACAGGCACAAGTTCGCCCAAAATTAATAGTTGTTTTAGCTGCCAGCATTGTACTTGTTCGTTACGACGATGCTCAACGATGACGTGATCCAGCCATCCAAAAGTTTGTGGGCATCACCTGTAGTAGTGGTCAAAAAGAAGGACAACACTCTGCGATTTTGCGCTGACTACAGAAAGTTGAACCTAGTCACAAAGCATGATGTTTACCCACTTCTGCGGATTGACGATGCCTTGGATAAGTTATGCAATGCTCACTTCTTTTCATCAGTGGACTAAAAAAGTGGATATTAACAGATCGAGGTGGACGAACGAGATAGCGAGAAGACGGTGTTTGTGACACCTGGCGGACTACACGAGTTCAAAGTTCACCCTTTCGGTTTGTGCTCTGCTCCCGCTATCTTTCAGAAAATGATTAACACTGTGCTATCTAACCTCGAAAGGCAACCTCGAAAGGCAAAGAGACGCCGCCACAGGCATACATACTGACGCGAGTAAGGCTGGTCTCGGTGCCATCCTCGTTCAGTTGCAGAATGGAGAAAAAAAGGTCATCACTTACACGAGCCGCACTGTATCGAATGCCGAGTCCAATTACTCAGCGACTGAGAAAGAGTGTCTCGCAGTTATATAGGCCATCAGCAAGTTTTGCCCATGCCCCTACAGAATATTGTTTCGAGCTATCAGCAATCATTGTGTTGGCTGGCAAATATCAAGGACCCTTCAGGAAGACTTTTTAGATGGAGCCTGCGTCTGCAGGAACATGACGTCACTGTGGTCTAAAAGTCAAGTCTCAAGCACAATGACGCTGATTGCCTGTCTCGCGCACCTGTGGAGTCTCCATCATCTGACCAAGGACAAGACATCCCATTTCTTGGAGTTCTGAATGTGTCAGAGATGGCTTGCCGTCAGTGAACGGACCTGGAGCTACGCCCACTTATCCAACACTTGGAGAGTCATCAAATTGAGGTACCACGAGTTTTCGTCCGTGGATTAACCATGTTTTCCAGAATGACGGCCTATACAAGCACAACTTTGGAAACAGCAGCGAGACGTTTGCTCCTCGTACTGTCATCGCTGTGAGCAGAAATCTTATAAGCTTGTCATGACGACCCATCGGCTGGCCATATGGATAGTAGTCGCTTTTTGGCCAGAATCCGCCGGAAGCATTATTGGCCGAAATTGAAGGATTCGTGCACCATTACATCAAGTCATGCCGAGATTGCCAAAGATGCAAAATACCTCCATCAAAATCAGAGGGTGTGTTAAAACAGATGCGTTTTAGGAGGGTTACTAATGCCGCATGTTGTTAGAGATCCGCTGCAGTCTTGCACCACTTCCTGCTTTTATGAAACCCATCACACCAACCGTTGCATGATGCAAAATGCATCATGCAACGCTGGACTGTGCGTGTGAACACACCACGCACTGGGAAGAGAACGCTGGCAGCTTTTAAAAGGGTGCGGCACGCAGCGAGACACTAGAAGACGTTGACGAAGTTTTCACTAGCGAGGTCAGGACATCTGTGTATTTAGTTGATGGGCACAAGTTCGCCCAAACTAAATAGTTGTTTTAGCTACTGGCGTTGTTCTTGTTCATTATATATATATATATATCGCAACGAGCGAGGTTTCGTAAAAACACAGGTTATTATTCAAGAAGCGTTAGCTGCAACAAGCTGGTACAGGCAGGAACCCAGCAAGCACGAGCCACACACAAACGTCAAGGTCTTCTTTCACGCTGGCACAGAGCTGGCGCCACTATGCTCCGGTACAATTACTCCCCACGCAGAAAGGAGCCAACCTGGCGACCTAGGGAAATGACACGACAAGGGAGTCATAGCACCGTTTGAGGCGTGATACGTGTACTGTTTCACCCCTACGGCAGCGTTGGTCCAAAGGTGGATCAATGGGCTCAACTTCATAGTTGACAGGGGATGTTTGTTGCAGCACACGGTAGGGGCCATGGTATTTCGACGAAAGCTTCGGGGAAAGACCGAGAGGGTAGATGGGACCGTAGAGCCAAACCAGCATTCCTGGGTTATAGTGGACACTAGAGGTAGAGGCGTCGTGGTCAGTTTTCTGGCCCCATTGGTCTTGTGCGGTAAATGAGCAAGCGAGTTGACGACACTCTTCGGCGTAAGCAGCTGCCTCGGAAACATCAGGCCTGAAAGGGAGAATAGTGTCTATGGAGCATGACAGCTCATGTCCGTACAGGAGGAATAAAGGAGAAAAGCCGGTGGTTGTTTGTGGTGCAGAGTTGTACACGTACGTGACAAAAGGAAGCACTTGGTCCCAATTAGTGTGGTCGTCAGACGCGTACATGGCAGGCATATCTCCAAGGGTACGATTAAAGCGTTCTGTCATGCCATTGGTTTGAGGATGGTATGCCGAGGTTTTCCGATGGACAGTGCGACATTCCTTGAGCAGCTCGTCGACAGCGTTCAAGAGAAACACGCGTCCACAGTCACTCAGTAATTCACGAGGTGCACCGTGTCGCAAAATGAGATGGTGAAGAAGAAAGGACGCAACGTCTTTCGCAGTGGTAGCAGGCAGCGCAGATGTTTCAGCGTAGCGTGTCAAATGGTCGACGGCGACGATAATCCACCGGTTGCCCTGAAGAGTGTTGGGTAGAAGACGATAAATATCAATTCCGACACGGTCAAATGGTATCACTGGGCAGGTTAAGTGTTGCAAAGGGCCAGCAGTGCTGTGAGAAGGCGTCTTGCGGCGTTGACACGTGGTGCATCACCGAACGTACTGGCGAACGTGCCGATACATGCTGCGCCAGTAGTATCTTAGATGAAGGTGAGAGTATGTCTTGAATACTGCAGCGTGGCCACACTGGGGGTCATCGTGAAAGGCAGCGCAGATGTCGGAGCGCAAATGACGAGGGATGACAAGAAGCGACCTACGGCCGTCCGTCACGTAATTGTGGCGATACGACAGGCCTTCACGGACAGCAAAGTAGAGGGAGCGTGAAGTCCTTTCTGACGAACTGTGAAAGAGGATGTCGAGCAAAAAATTGATCCAGGGATCCTTGCGCTGCTCGGATGGCATGTCGGTGATGCTCAACGATGACGAATCGCAGATGGCAGTTGGCAAGCAGGCAAGGTCAGGAGGCAGTGGAGAACGGGATAGTCCATCGGCATCTGAATGTCTGCGTCCTGAGCGATAAATAACACGGATGTCGTATTCCTGAAGGCATAAAGCCCAACGAGCGAGGCGGCATTTGCCAATATCTAGAGCGCTGATCCAGTGAAGAGGAAAACCCCGCACCTTGAAGGCAATCCAAGGCGTCATCAATGCGTGGCAGGGGATAAACATCCTTGCGTGTGATCTTGTTTAGTCGACAATAATCCACGCAAAACCTGATGGAGCCATCCTTTTTTCGCACGAGGACCACTGGCGAAGCCCAAGGACTGTGTGGGTGTTGAATAACACCACGTTGCAGCGTCTCGTCGACGTGTTGAGTGATGACGTCACGCTCAGTCTGCGAGACGCAGCAGGGGCGCTGACGAAGTGGATTATGATGACCGGTGTCGATATGGTGAGCGACAACCGACGTGCGTCCCAAGGGAGATTGTCCGTGGTCGAAGGAGGTGCGAAACGGTCAAGTAGTTAAATGAGCTGATTGCGCTGGTCTTGTGTAAGGCCGGTGTCTACGCTGCGCAACAGAACATCTTCGTCAGGTAGTGAGGGCGCGGTGGCAGCTGTGACAGCATCTGTGGATATCGGCATCGTATCAGAAGGGGCATCGAAAAGAAAAATGGCATCATAAGCGTCAAGATGCCCAATACATTTGCCATGTAATAAGGTAGCGGGACAAGGGAACGAATTGCACATGTACACGGCACTAGAGTCATCTGCAAGTGTTATGACGGCAAACGGGACGACAACGTTCCGGCGACGAGTGCATTC